ATACTTTTAACCGTAAAAGTTGACGGAATATTTTGAAGAAAGTTTTACGGTTACACAAATTGAGAGATTTTGGAAGTTATGTGTCGCATGTAGTAAAGGAATATGTCTTCTCGGAGTTGAGTTATGTACAACTCAGAGACAACGACCAAATTGTTATACGAAAAGCAGATAAAAGTACAATTTTCGTAATTATGGATCAACTCAGAGAGAATATGTATTCATGGAGGTGTGGAGCTTACTCGTTATATCTTCTAATCGAACTACCCTTGCTTCTCTGATTATTTTGTGGAAAAAATCCGCCCTTTGGACTCCAACGACCGTTCAATCGTACTTTCTGAATGGAGGAGACCAGTTCCAGTGAGTGATTATTACCATCAATTGCAGGATGCTTGAGAACATTGAAGCTAAATGCACAATGTTGCCTTTCGCTGCATTTTGTACTCGAGTCGCAAAGCATTCAAAAGGCTGTAACTCAACAACGTCAATACCGTTCCTCCCATGCAACGCCGCTCTGCCACAAGGTCTCGCCTCAAAGGAGTTTAAGCGTAAAAAACTCTGAACTTTGCCAGTAAAATAGCCGATTTTATAACCTAGACGACCACCCAAGACGCGTATGAAAGATTCTGCGTGCAGCCTCAATAGCGCTCATGCAAGGACCAGTCAAAACTTGATGAAGAGCTTGATGCAGGCTCAATATCGTCCTAACTCCTAAGCCAGAGGAAACTTCTCATTGCAACATGCAATTACAGTGCGATTGAAATTGAATTGAAGTACGTACATGCAATTTAAACTCCCGTTGCAGTATAAATTATCAATACTTCGTAAATGCAGTGAACTATTGTGGCAGAATATTATTATTTAAACAATTTTTATCATATTGCCACATCAATATAAAATATATTAAAGTCGATTGGAGTAACATGATGGGATGACGAAGTTTCTTTCCCCTAATCAACCAAGGATGCAAAAATCATTGGTTTAAAATAACACAACTCAATATAAATGCAAGATTTAGTTAATTTAATCAGTTTTCTCATCTGAATTATTATTTATTTCACCTTTTTCTGTGCATTAATTTTCTTTATGGTCTAAAAAACAACCACTATCAACCTGCGTACGCCAATCGCTTGAAATTTAGGCTAAAATAAACTGATTCCCTTGAGCACAGTGTTTTTGAATTAATATCTCAACGAACTGTACTTGCATACTCTATCCACCCTCTATTGTGTTCACATCCATTATCGTGAGCTGCTCTTCTCAGTAACATGGGAACTGCAATGCGCATCGAGCATCTATCCTCTCAATGGCGGTGCTGCTACCAAGCAAGATGCACTTTCCATTTGTTTGCTGTTTGTATATGTTTGTATATAACTCAGTATTCACCGCAGTGAGTGACAGAGAGCGCATTTTCTCGTCGACGAAAACGTGAAGTCACGGTCGGACAGACGGACGGACAGACGGACATGGCGAGCACAATAGTGAATTTTTTCCAGAAATGAGAAAATGTGCTAAAAATACTTTTTCGATGAATATTTCAATTTAAAGAATTAATTTCTTCCTTTTGCACGAAGGCTGCAATTCTGAAATAGCCATCTACATGCGCGTAATTTGAAAGGAGAATGAAAACGTTTGAGTTTTAGTAGCTTGAAATTACAAACATAAATGCCTCTATATGACATGTGGTTATTTAGAACAACTTTTATCTAAAACCTTTGATCCTTTTTATGTTTTTGCAAGTTAGTTCCGAGCCTCGCGAGGCATTTATTGAAACTAAACTAATAAACTTGATAAAACTGAAACTAATGATCGATTACCAGACCTTGGCTCTGTCGAAATATAGTTAAGTGAACCATCTCTTTGGTAATAAATATTCTAATGCACCATTCATCCTTCTTTCGGTGATTCAACGCAGTCATAAATTGTGAATGTAGTGGGCTTCTTTTGGTCATGCTTTAACATGCAAACGAAGTTGATTTCTTTGGCCAAGCTTACGGAGAGAATGTGTCTTGCATGCCCCCATGGGGTTGTCCTTTTCATGTGCTGCTTCACAGTAGTTGCGGTCACGACTCGAAGTGAGCGACAAGCCGTGGTTCTTGTTCACAGGAACTGTCGCGGTATTAGAAATCTTGGTCAAACAAGAGGTGGCCACCGAAATGGACTGCGGCCGGCCGGCAGTAATTCGAGAATTGTTTTATATGAGGCCTTGGCGGCTAGGTATATATGAAGCACTTCGCGATGCACCGTTTATCATTCGAGACAGCTTTAGACTTATTATTATATGTTAGATATTTTATTACATGAATTTACAGCGTTTCAAACTTTGATACAAAAGTTTAACACAATTATCGCTGTAAATTGCACGAGACTCGTACTGCATATAAACTGATGCTCATTACATTTGATTGTTCGTTCTTTTGAAACTTGATATTTGCCTTACTTTCAAAGATATAAATGAGTTAGGAAAGAAACAGTTTATACAATGTTGTAAATAAGTATTAGTAAGTCGTTAAATCTATGTTCTAAATAATTGAGACAATCGTTAAATTATTGACTTTCTATTTTCAGTAATTAATTTGAGTTTTATGTAGCCTAAACCTTCCAATTCAGGCGCTGCTTGCTCTAATTCAGGCACGGAAAGATATATTTCTTAATATATCCCAATTCCTTAAAATATAATTTTAAAATTATTTTAATTTATTTCCATGTCATTCGTGCCCAGCGTGACATTACGTTCTTTTAAACAGAGAAAAATCACTAGCGATTAAAATGATTGGACACGGGGAAGATATCATCAACAGGACAAACTATAATTGAATTCAACTTTAATCACACTGCAATGTTTCGTACAGGATTTTTCCTCCAATTGACACTCAACGCCCGAGTTTGTCCGCTGTAGCTCAGATGGAAGCGACTGATAAGTCGACCGTCCCGACAGCGACCGACAGCCGTGCTGGACTTTAGTTGCATAAAAGCATCTATAAATTTCTAGGAAACAACCAGTCTTGTCGTTTTCAGAACCTTGTACAGAAACGATCGTCGTTCCCGTGGCTAATAGGTAATTTGTTCACATTTGAATGGTATTCTCTGTTACTGTCTTTTTTTTTCTCAGTAAGAGCGCATTCTTAATGATAGGTTGAAGGTTTTAGGCTTATGCACTAACCAAATTGACTGAGAAGTAAAATTCAATTAAAATGTTGAGTCACTGGTTTCTATTTATCAGTTTTATGGCGTTGATGCATTTCAATTATTAAATTTCCTAAAGTGCAAGTTTGTCTTGAAGGCCTATTAATAGTTGCAAAATTTGGTCAGACTAACCTCGATGCCTGATGCCCTGATCGCATTAATGCGAATTAAGATGAAGTATTATATTCATGTTAGTGTGAATTTCCGAATTTAAAAAATTCCGCTACAGGGTATTTGAAGTAATTTTTCTTGTTATGAAGCGACTTTAGAAGCGAGGTAGAATTATAACCAGATAACTAAGGCTGGTGTTCTTTCAGAGATACAAAAGTGACACTTTTACTACAATTCTTCTTGTTCGTAACTAATTTTCTAAACAATATGAAAGAAGCAGCACTTTAGAATCGAGACCAGCAACACTGGCAGCAGCGCTGCCCCAAGGGAAAGCAGCAGCAGCAGCAGCAGCAGCAGTAGTCCGTCACCCGACAAAAGCGCACCAGCAGCAATGAGCGAGTCGTGCTGCTGTGGCTGTGTTCACGATGCTTAGCTCCTCACGACCTCATAGAATATTGATGAAGCTCCCCTGTCTTGATGTAGTCTCTGCTTTGATGACATAAACATGACCCCAAACGTTGACGAGCGCAATGCTAACCGCGGCGACAACCCGAACCTGGGCCCCTGACAAGCCGAGACGCTCCTGTGCCTGCCTCCCGAAGATGGACAAGCTCGCTTCGCAATTTCAGTGTCACCGTTAATGATAATCCGAGACGCTGTCATTTTGGCGTGGTTGCTAGCCAACCTTGCGTTTGACCATAAATAATGATAACTCGAGAACAGGAGAGTGTAAATATTGAGTGCAGGATTAAGTGTGGTTTGCAGCAGAAACAAACTATAATTTTATTCTTTGTATCACCACTGTTAGCAGGGACATTGGTTATTTATTTCTCTCTTCGGTAGGTATGCAAGGTCAGTGCTTCCCGATCCTTGGTTAATTTTAACCTTGCATTTCAATTTTATTATATTTGTTATTTCATCTTACCTGTCCCGTCGTGCAATTCACAAGTGGTAAACTAATGTTAGCCACGTCTGTTATTCTGCGCATGTACAGACTACGAGAAGCAATCCATACCAGCATTTAATGAAAATGATATCCTGCGCGATGTTGTGATGAGGAATCAAATTTGTCCCGTAACACTTCAGTTCAGCCCCATCAGTTACAGTGGGGGGAAATAAATATTCGTACACTTGAAAAATCGTATTTTAATGTATGTAAGTACACAAACTTAATAGGAAAAGTGATTGAAATTATGTATAGAGACGCATAGTATTCAAAAATACTATCAATAGAAATTAAATCTCAATGCAACAAAAAACAATGCAACATGTTCACTTTTCGGTAATTTAAATCACTTTTCCTGTTAAGTTTGTGTACTTACATACATTAAAATACGATTTTTCAAGTGTACGAATATTTATTTCCCCCCACTGTATATCGAAGCACATCACCATCATGCGTGTTAATTGATATGATTTACGCTCCTATGAATAGCCTCTACAATAATTAGCTTTTCAATCAATTAAAAGAAGATGAATTGAGAGCCACAAGTCAGGGCCAGCAGCGCCGACGCCGGTGCTACCATAAACTTGATTTATACGCCATTATGTTCCTGTTAAAGATAGGTTTAACGTGGCGCGATACTTGATGCTAAAGCGGTTATAACTTGTGTAGAGCATTCAAAATATACCCTACACTTCGGAGAATTATTATCAATTATAGTATAAATGCTTTAAGCCCTGTGAGGTCATAGTAAAGAAAGATGGTATGATACTCATTTAATAATACGATAGCTTTTCATCGATACATGAACACTATGAACATCAGAAGGGAATAAATTGTCAGGTAACGAGACGAACAATACATATACAAAAAGTCTCAGAAAACATTTAGATGCGTGCAATTACTTGGTCTCGACTAAAACTATTACATGCGATTGTTGATAAATCTCTATATACGCCTGGGGCAAATCCCACTGTGCTTCAAAGTTGAGTCTTGCTGACAACGAAATGGGCTCTATATTTTTTTGCCTACTCTGCAGTAAATTTTTTTACCGCATTTTTGACGTTGTGGAATTCCCGTGCATATAGATCGTTTGAACAACGTCTACTTCAGCTAGAAAGAGAGGAGAATCTTTGGTAATATGGGAAGTATTCATACTACCATCACGACACGGACAAAATGACAATTGAAACGACTGCGCCTCTTTGGTCTGCTAGTGCGATGATAACGTGTGAAAAAAGCAGCGCTGGTAGATGCATAAATTATTCATTATAATTATACACAGCGGTCGTATATGCTTTGAGTTGTTACATGAAAAATTGGACATCAGTGATGAATTTAGGTTTCATGTTGAATATAAGCCAATACACTTGACGGTTATGGTACAATGGCTTCTTTTGAATATATCGACAGTAAAATTACTGTTGATATTTGTTTGAAATTAGACACAATAAATATTGTTTATGACGTGCTAAATAACATTTTGCAAAATGCATAGTAAGGTTTATGTGTTCATATCAGCACTCGCCCATGGTAGAAAAAGTCTACATATTACGAGGATTAGCATTAGCTGGCAGAATTTTCTTGTTGAAACACGTACGATTAATAACCAGAGAACGCATTATATTTCAATTTTCAAGGAGTCAAAAAAATATTCAGATGACGTTAATAGATCTAAAGGCAGGTCTCAGCAAGTACGAATAATAATACATAATAATATAATATTAGGGGGAATATACAATCTGAGCTAAAGTCATTATGTCCTAATAAATTCATTTCTCATAATATAGCGATAACATTAAAGTATTCTGCAATATAACTTCATCCCAAATTTAAACAAAAACTATTGGTTCAACCATGACTGATTGGGGTACATCTTTTACATCTTTAAAAATATAATAGAAATGAGCAGAAAACGACTTGAAATATGCAAGGCCAGCTCACAAGTATTGGCTTGCATGAATTAGAAGACAATAATAATAATATTAATAATAATAATAATAATAATACAACGGAGGGGCGACACGCTTCATACATGACGTTTTTAGCGCCGCGTAAGCAGCCGATCACATGGTGAACGCTCATGGAATACAGCATGTCTTAAAGTTAACATAACCCGAAGATTCCTAAAATGAAAGATTAAAAGAACTAATAGATACAAATTAAAGTTTCAGCACAGCCAAGTGAGAAGATCACAATTGGCATATCCGCTTGAATAGCATTGGTGACGAAACACTACGATAACGACAAAGCTACAAATGCCAAGAACAGATTGAATTTGTATTTATACAACGTACATTAAAATTATTCGGAAATTTTGTAACGACTTGCTCGTTCCCAATGGTTTTATAATGCGCTTAAGAGATCAAAAAATTGCACTGTTCTCAAATGAAAAAACTCATTTGAACTCGTTAATCCGCCATATCGTGTACATTAAGATCCTGCAATAATTCGTTCGAGTCAATTACATTACAAAATTATTGCATTAAATTCATATCTTTAACCGAGCGTTAAAAATCACAAATGATACAGGAGATCAACTCACCTGAGCTACTTAAACAAATGCAGTTTGATAAAGAATTATATTATACAGGCTTCTATATACCTCGATTGAGCATATGTCCTGAACATATTAGCACATTTCATTCAAAAAATTATTGTTATCAAAGTTTTAAAATAGGAAAGAAACTTGGCAAACGATCGAGCGTTAAAATAACCCACGCCTGGAAATGAAAGAAAGCTCGTGTTCGAGTTTATATGATTCTTTCATGTCGTAGAAAGAATTTAGATTAAAACAGTTTTCGTCTTAAAACTAGTCATCATCTTTGAACAGTTAATATGAAGATCTTTAGGTAAATTTTTTCATAGCACATACATTGACTGCCTTTCATGCAATCTTTACCGAGGGCCTTGCAATGAGAGTTAAGTCCTGCATTACCCATTTCACGACCTGCTTTATATTCAATGTCATAAAGTTGAGAAGGTTGTAGGAAACTAGAGCCGATCCTTGGGAGACGAGCCAACTCTAATAATTGCCACACTCACGAGTTCATTTCAAGAACATCGCTCCGAAAGCCACTTACCTCACGACGCTCATGCACTTCGTATACATCATTTTCATCATCATTACTAATTAATCTCACAAATAGGTACCGGTACTCTTCTTGCAAGACGAAATGAATGTCGACGGTCGACCTATAAATTATGAAATACGACGTATATATTACGAAATGAATTAATGCCGGTCGACGTATAAATTACGTATACTTAGAGCTGGAGTTCCGTTAAAACCTATCAGAAAAATTTAGATCGTACCTACCTGTATATATCTATTGTTATGTCATTTTATTACTTGTTAGCAATTATTACATCATTATTATTATTTTAAAAAGGAGCGGATACAAGCACAAATCAAATGAAAACCATCCCCTTTAAGGATAGCTACGCTTCACAACCTCTTATTGGGAGTCAATTCTGTAGAGTTTCAACAAATTATAGAAGAACGCCGTAGCTTGAAAGTACCTACTCATTCTAAACCCAGCATCACCTGTTTTATGCTGTCAAACTCTTACCCAGCTGAACTTCAAGCCATCGCTACATACAGGAAATTTACAACTAATGTCGCAGAAAACTTCACAAGACACGCAAAATTAAATATTCTACCTTGTATCACATATGGCACTACTATCTTGCTATCATTACACACCGAGCTTCACCTTCTCAGTAAGCTTCAGCACCACACGCACCATTTCACTGTCGTTTCATCAGATTACAGTAGCGCGAGTTTTGCCGCACCATGAGCTCGTGTGGTGAGCCTTCCTCTACCAGCTCTCCATTTTCTAGAACCAGCAGCCTGTCGTATGAATACTTTGTTAGCACACTAACACACTTCAAATTTAATAATAAAGACCAATCCAAAATTAATCAGAATACAAAATAAAATAATGTTTAACATTTTTTAAATATGTTCCAATGAGGAAACCTTTCCCATCTCGTGCAGAACCATGAAATGCGGCCGATTATCCGTTCCCATCCTTTCTTGTGCCTTTTATTTTTCGCCTGTTATTAATCTTATGTGCGACGTGCCCTCGAATTTTGTTTGAACCAGACGCCACGATAAATGCTTCGTTGAATATTTATAACAATAACAATCGTAGTTTATTATATAATTAATATGCTTCACGATTGAATAAAATAAAACTTGCACTGCTAAAGTTCCATCGTGAGTGACATGTCTGACCTGTCGCAGTCGCTGAGGGTGCGGAGGCGGTGGGCGACGATGAGCACCGTCGTGTTGCGGAACGTGTCACTCAGGACGCGCTGCACTGCATCTTCCGTCAGGGGGTCCAGAGACGCCGTCCCCTCGTCTACACAAATTATCTGAACACGTAAATAAGATTTGTTATTATCAATATAAACGTAATATCTAAGAAATATATGTAGATGACTGAGAGCAGTTCAAATAATAAATATTGAATAGAATAGAAATATAATTCCCAGCTTTTTATCGCCAACATGTATTGTTATCAAACGTGCTTTATCTGAAAAAATTATGTTTTATTAATTTTATTATGTATTGATGAATTTAGTTGCTCACACGTAAAGAAATCCGAATCATTGCAGTGCACTGAGCGTCACATATAACGCAATGTAAATTTTTCTAATATTAATGCCGAAATAAATTTAAATCAATAAATAGTTCAGTCAAATTTTCGTACTCATGATTAGATGCAATAATGTGGTTATATTACTTTGATGTCGATTTCCTACTTATATTATTACAAAATTCTGACGAGAGTAATAATCCTAATGACCTTTGCTCTGGTGAGAAGGGCTCGAGCAAGTACAAGTAGCTGCCGTTCACCGTGAGACAAACATCTCCCCAAATCCCCCATGGGAAAATGCAGCACCGAAGCGACCGCCTCCTTTGCCTCTTCTTCAGCTCTTCTCGCTCTACCACCCTCATCAGAAGATCGTGATCCAGAAGCTGCAGAATTCTCAGAGATCCCAAGCTTTTCAACATCTGATGCATCATCATTTCCAGAATTTTCGGGGTTGTTTTGCGCTTCTAGTTTTTTCAACTGACGAGCTCTCGCAACGGCGTCTTTGAGGGCAGTCTGAACATAGCAAGCCTTGAGGGCGTTCCAGATGGCGGTGTCTGTGTGGCGGTTAAAAGGATCCACGTTTTGCCGTACCGAGCCCGTGAAAAGTGCCGGGATTTGAGTGACTATTGCCATCGTCGTCCTAGAAGGTAAATTTCAATTTGAATTCTTCCATATGTATAGTTTTTCAATTTTAGTTTCGATTGGAGAAATTTTCAACGTTGCAACAATCTTCAACGCAGACAAAATAAAGGTTGCTACCGATAGCGTTTATTAATATTCTAGATTCCCAAAAGAAACGTATATCTTTCACATTCTGCTTGGAATTAAGAGTAAAAAATGCCTAGGAAAATTGTTACAGATATTTTCACTGACCGCAACCTCTCCAGGGAAAGTCCGGCAATGTCGACGTTGTCAATGTAGATGGCGCCGCTACTGAGCTCGACGAGCCTGAAGAGCGCCGCGAATATGGACGATTTACCGGCGCCCGTGCGCCCTAAGATGCCAATCTTCTCGTTGGCGCCCACGCGGAATGACAAGTCACGCAGAGCATGTGCTTGGTACAGTCTGAACAAAAGGCAACTTGTTTTACTGCAGTCATTCAAGAGATATTTTCATCATTGTCTGAAAACAGTGTGCTGGCGAATAAGGAGGGGCGGGGACGGAGAGAATGAAGTAAGGTTAGGCAGGGGGGGTGGGGAGAGATGGGGCAAAGGCTAGGCAAATGAAATGAGAAATGTAGGTATTAAATGCAATACGGGAAAATTTCGAGATAATATTACCGTTTTGTAATTCTCAGCTTAGCGATAAATATCTCTCGTCAATTTTCCATTATAATTTGTTCGACATCGCATAACTCTTAGCATCTGCCTCTTCTCTCCAACACCTCGAATCTCCTTCGCCTACTCATCATCCTAACTTCGCTTCCCCTCCTAGCCCCCATTTTCCCCACCTGTATCTGACAGAGACGCCCTCGAAGCGGATCGTGTTGTGGGTAGGCCACTCGGGCCCCGGGTTGAGGGCTGGCATCGCAGGGCTGCGGCGAGTTGGGTCCACATGTACGCCGCCATACGCGCCAATACTGAGCGACAGCTCGAAGTCTGCATGAGATCAAAGGTGACAATACAGGGTGGATAAATTAGCTACTTTTCATTTCATCATTGTTAATTTACGAGGATAGTTCACAAGCATCGTTATTGTTAACCATCATTTTACTTACTTTTACCTTTCGCTTTTTTCCAGGGTTGAATTCCAGCGCGTATCTACAGCGAGACAGTTTTTATAGGCTACTTGGGCATTGAAAATGACCGGAAAGACCAATTGAAAACCACTATTGCAGCGAATAGGTCATATGCTCCTATATCTCCACGCACGCCTCCGAGGCGGTCCCAGAGGCGTTTCAACGCACGTCACGGTCCCCGAGGCGTTTCAACGCACGTCACGGTCCCAGAGGCGTTTCAACGCACGTCACGGTCCCCGAGGCGTTTCAACGCACGCCACGGTCCACGGGCTGTCTCAACGCACGTCACGGTCCCAGAGGCGTCTAGATGTGTATAAGAGACAGGTCCACGGGTCGTCTCAACGTACGTCACGGTCCACGGGTCGTCTCAACGCACTCCACGGTCCACGGGTCGTCTCAACGCACGTCACGGTCCCAGAGGCGTCTCAACGTACGCCACGGTCCACGGGTCGTCTCAACGCACGTCACGATCCCAGAGACGTCTCCATTCACTGCACATCATCATCACACACATCTCAGTCCCCTAGTCACCACCACGCACATCACAGTACCCTAGTCACCAGCACACTTATCACAACCCCCTAGTCACCACCACTCACGTCCCATTCGCACCGCACCTCTGTCACCGCGAATATACTCCTCCATGCGCTCCACGGCGACCAGCTCCCTCTCGGTGTCGGTGAATGAAGAAACCACGGAATTGAGGAACCCGTTGATGGTCAGAGCGTAGGATACCACCAAACCAACGATACCTGGTAGAGGATGGTATTTATCAACGTAAACCACGATTTTTCATGTAATTTTCCGTGTATAATGAAAGTCCGCGTCATGAAAGTTTTACTATACAAGAATGGCAAATATATTATTTCTCTCTATTTTAAATTATTGAAACAATTATTTTCCAAAATTATGTTCCATAGACATGGTATTGATTAGTTAAATCAATACATTGAGTATAAACATAACTGAAAAATTATACGTTGATTCTTGCAAGCTTATACAACTTTACATTGACAACTGAAAGCATTCATATAATATGATGCAAAATCGCACCAGGACTGACTGCGCCGGTGTGGTGTTGCAGCAAAGCAAGGCCAGTAACTCCGGCCAGTACCGCAACGGCAAGCAGCTGCAACCGCAGACTCAGCCATTGACTGGCAGCCTGCACGCTCAGCTGACAGCGCTGACTGCACTCCAGCAGCCGCTCGCACTCGCTGCCAGCGCTGACAAAAAAAAAAAATTTAAATTCAAGAAATGCGTAATGGCCCAGATGCATGCAATGCGAGAAGGCAGATTAGTTTAAAGTTTCAATGTTGTTCAATTTTCAATGTTAGTTTCAACGTTAATTTTTACTACTAAATTATAAGATCAACCATATAAGCAACTTTGAAAATGTAATCCATTGGAAGAATAAATGAGAAATAGGTACCTAATTTAATAGTCAGTCATTGCACATGCTTCAAATTTATTTAAGAAAAGCAATAGAATATGAACATGAGGAATTAGAGTACGTAGAGATGTCACCTGTTGACGGCCCTCATGGCCCGGATGGTCGGCAGCCCCGCCAGCGTCTGCGTGAAGTGGGCGTACACCGGCGACAGGGAGAGCGCCTGTAGCCGTCGTAGGTCACGCGACGAAAACCTGAACAGTGATAATATGAGTGACATATACCAGCGGTCATTTTGAGATAGTTATGAATTATTTACGATCCAATTTCCGAACAGAGAAAGGAAGAGTAACATGACCTCGAGGTCATCAATAAAAGAATGACGTTCCGAGACAAACAGTTTCAGTTTTAGTGATCAAGCAGTCTTAGCACAGGTATTAAACAGTAATACAGTAAAATCTAATGTTTATTGGTGCACTGACCTGTAGTAATGTTGTATGTTGTAGTACCACAAAGCGACGGGAATGTAAACAAGTATCATCCAAGGTAAGCCATAGACGGTGAGGATGATGCTCCCAGCAAGTCCGGCCAATTGCGCACATAGAATATTCAGCTGGAACGGTAAAGCGTCGTCCACCGTGTACAAGTCTGAAGAAAATCTGTTGATTATCCTACCAAGCGGGTTGCTCTCGAAGAAAGCCATGGGGTTCTGGAGTACTGAGGTGAGCAGCTTGCGGTGCAGGTTTCTGGCTGCCTTGAGGCCGCAGTAAGCGAACCCGAAAGCACGAATTATAGTGAAGATTGAGTGGCCGGCGGCAATACAGCAGTAGACCGTCAAGAAGTATTGGTTCGTAGGTGAGATGTGCAGGTCTAGGAGTCCGAGCGAAGCTGTGCCTGAGTTATCTACACGAGGAACCTGAAATTAAACACGCACGTCACTAATTTTTAAGTGATGATGAAATTTTCGGACATAAACTCAGTATTATCCATACTAAGAAAATTTCAGACATATTCCACGAAAATCAGATGCGATCATGAGATATGAAATACTCATTTAATTAATTTTTAGTTTATGGACTGATAATAGTTAAGGGACTTACGCGAATAAAAGCACTCATGGATGCCTCCCAGGAGAAGGGATGCACGTGGCTGTGATGGTGAACATTTGGATGTATGAGCCACGAACCAAAATTCGCAACATCACTCCCCGTTTCCCCGGGAGTGTTTCGTTCCCAATCCTGGGTGTTATATCCTGTAGCCCCTGAACCCTCCCAATAATTACCCCCACTGTTTGGGTAGGAGGCCATGCGTACGACAGTGAGGTTCGTACCGCCTGGGGCATTGGTGACCCAATAGGCAAGCCACAAATCAGTGATGTTCCTGCTAAACTGCATGCCCAGTAAAGCCAAGAAGGTGAGGAAGGCAAGCCAGTAGCCCATGGACGAGAAATAAGCAGCGTACACAGACCAGGCAAGAGACCCGGTCTCGCGGTGCTCTCGGTCGCTGCTCGGCACGACCGTGTGTGTGAAGGATGGGTTGGGATCAAGGTCTTCTTCGGTGCTCTGTAAAAATGGTTAAATTCTTACATATTTACATTTAAGAGCAGGAGGCCAAAGTAGCCCCATGCATAGAATGGCATGGGGCTACTTTAGAATATTGATAGATAATATTTGGGAACGCGCTTCTTCAAGTCTTAGTAAATTGAAATTACATGCCAGTTGAACACCGAAAATAATTGAACGTACAACCTTGACCACTAAAATGCATTTAGTATTCCTAAATGATCTTTGCGAAGTGTCTCTACATTTCTACTATACTAATAATCGCACATGAAACGAACCCATCATGAGTAGAAATACTTAAATTCCAAGTTAGGGAGCAAAAATTTTATAAGATGAAAATATGAGCAAAATTTTATACGATGTAAATACGAGAATTTCATCAGATGAAAAGAAATTGTAAAAGAACCTACTAACCAGACAGAGCACGGTATTTAATACGCCACTCACCTGGCTAATGAGGGCATATTTCTCATGCTTCTCGAGCAGCACCAGCGGCTGCGAGCCGTCATTAGTTGCCACTCTGAGCCCTGCCGCTCTTCTAGCCGCCCCTGCTGCTCCGTCTGTTGCACTTCCTTCGTCTGAACGATCAACCATATGGCAGAACACAGAGGGTTGTTATGAACATGAAGAAATGTTCACAACAATCGAATTTGTATCTTATATATAGATTAAAAAGCAATTAAGACAGTTGCTAGTTATATGATGTGAACAATTAGCAACAGCAAACACTGTCTCATCTCGTTCTTTGTGGTCACCAAGCAGTTATCTGGACGAATAAGGAAGACATGCCGTTACTTTTGGTACCCCAATGGATGAGTAGCTTGAATAGCCATAAAAGTTACCAGTGAACTCGAGGTATCCTTTTATTTGCCCAGTAAAATGAATTAGCGAGTAGCTACCATCTGTAGTAAATAGGTATAGCTTCGAGTCATCAAGGAGCCATGAGATTAATTAAGAGATCAGAGAACTTACTCAGAAGCGACACATTTGTTTTTACGTGACGAAGATGCTACCAAAGGATCTTCTTATGCACTACTAATTACTAATAAGTTACCATTGAGCCAATACAGAGCCCGAGGCTAGTAAGGAATATTATTTCTCTACTACTCACTACTTGGTAACTTCCTTAGAACAACTAAATAGTTGCAACGAAAAGGACACTCTTACCAACAGTCGTGGCAGCAGTGGCAGCGCCCCTGCGTGGCACGGCGCCTGTGCGCTGCCAGGCGAGGGTGCCGGGGTCTTCCTGCCACCAGTCACGCAGAAGCTCCTGCGGCGAGAGGAACTGCGGCAACACGTCGTCCGGGGATCCTGTTACAAAAAAATTCTCTGATTATAGAAAATTTGTTAGAATTTTCGCGCATGAAATGAGAAACTTTTAAGACCTGCAACATGCCCCAGTGATGGCGATTTCTCTCAAATTCTTGAAGGAAACGATTCAGAAAACATCGAGTCAACGAATAGAATAAATATAGAGCGATGCTTGGTTAGCATAAATATACCTTTCAGATAATAATAAAAAAATGCGAGGATTTTGACAAAATATGTAAAAAATTAGTTAATTTTAAGAAAATTTACAACGATCTCTACCAAAAAAGCCAAAATAAAAACCTATCAATTTCACTCAATACTACTGAAGAGTCACATTATTCCAAGAATCAATTTTAAACACTCTGATTTTATCACGCTCTCTATTCGATAAACAATATGAAGCGAGTTCAATTATCTAAAAACTATCTGTTCAGATTCAAATCTCAGATGAACAAGAGTTCGCTCAACAAAGTCGTTCCCTTTCCAGTAATTTACAGCACCTAAGTTAATTTGTGACGAATAATAATATGGCAGCAGCAGATGAGTAAACTGACCCACATGAGTGATGCGCCCACGGTCCAGCCTAATGATGGTGGAGCACCGAGTGGTGAGGTGCACATGATGGGTGGTGAGCAGCACGGTCTTGCCCTTAAGAAAGCCCATGATAGCTTCGCGCATGATGTGTCTCGCCACGGGCCCATCAACGCTCGACAAAACTCCGTCGAGAAGGTAAACACTTTTTTGCTGGTACAGAGCGCGGGCGAGCGCCACTCGCGTCCGCTGGCCACCGCTCAAGCACTGGCCGTTTTCACCGCATTTCGTCGCATCGCCCCGCGTCAGTTGAGTGATGTCCTCGTGCAAGGCGCACGCTTGAACCACCGCATCGTAACGCACTTTGTTGTACGCGCTGCCAAAAAGAATATTGTCCCGTATGCTCTGGTCCTGAATCCAAGGATCTTGGGAGGCGTAGCCGAAACCATGATGCAAAGAGGCCACCGCTACAACACCTTGAGTCTTGTTGAGCTCAGCCAAGATAGCGTTGATTAAAGTTGTTTTTCCGCTACCTGTTTTGCCGATGATAGCGACCACCTCACCTTTTGCGATCTCTAAATTCACGTCTTTGAGTGTCGGTTTTATTGAGAGAATAGCAGCAGCATTACGACTGCTGGTGGATTTAACAGGACGTGCGTCTGAAGCGGCGTAACCAATCCGAGGGACGATGTTAAGCCCGTCGTCGTCGTCTTGCTCGTCAGCCAAACTTTCATCGTCACGACCATCTACCAACTCTTCTTCGTCACTTCCCTGAGAAGCTTTCCCGAAGAATTTCCTGGTGGATGAGCCATGCTTTTTGCGTGCTATTTGTTTCTTAAAATCGTGGCTCCTGGAGGCAATGTTGTACCCGTCACCAACATCGTCGTCATCGTCGGGAGTTTGAGCAGCAGATGTGGAGGCAGTGGGGCCGGACTTCCAAGAAAATGAGGCGTTCCGAAGCAAAATTTGCAGGTGGGACGATGCAGTCGACATGTCCGCTACGATGGTGTAGTACTGAGACAAGTCTTGCTCCACCTCCTGCAGGGGTCATGCTATAGTTATAATAACGCAGCCATACATACTATGTGTGTACTAGTACAATTTGTAAATGGTGCATAAAAAGTATACATAATCATTAACAATAAACGTGGAAATAGTTTGAGGTTTTACTTGGCCAGCTGATCAAGTTGAAGCAAGTTATTATTCATTTTACGGCAGAAGGCTTCAGTAAGCCTCCTAAGTTACATAAATTTGAAGTTTTACTAGAATACTCTCATCTCCAAATTATTCCTCCACTTTTCAATTTTGCAAAAAAAAAAAACAAGATAAGAACATAATTGAAAATTGTAAAAATTTTCTAAGCGAGAAATCTCATTTCGAGTGAAACGTCACTGATCTCTTAGTTCACCTGTAATATGAGGTGCCTTCACGTGTTGAAGTCTCACCTCGAGAAGATTGGCAATGCGTTTATTGGAGACGAAGCCTTCAACAAGTCCGTTGATGGCCCAGGGGAAGGCGTTGAGTGGCATGATGAGCATGTTGAATAGCGCCACGGCAGTGAACACTCGCGCCGCGTCCATCTCATTGCCCAGGCTGATGTAGGTGCAGAATGTCGCTATGGGGATCAGCACCGGCGTAGCTGCCCAGAAGTACACGCACGCCGCGTCCAGATACTTGCGTCCTGCCAGCGCCTTCAACTCGCCCTGAAATAACCCAAGCAAATTTCAGCGGTGACTCGGGAGGCCTGACTTTTTTATCAATTCAAAAGAGGCGTATTTAAAACAATGTGTATTTATTTTTAAAGTGCATTGATCAATTCTGCGAACGAAAAACTACTTACCTGAAAAAATGTAGATAGTATAATTTATGACGTCACAAAATCGTGTAACCTTGGCAATATTTCAATTAAGAGACAATATCGTGAAAGAAATACTCGACAATTTAGTGCGAAATTGGCGGTCGTGGAGGTAATACTATCAAACGAACGATGTAGTTGTGTTGATCACCTCCCTCTCGCGATCGATGGTGTCAGCAAAGAGCCGTTGCCAGCAGTTCATGTGGATCGCCCTGATCATTGTCAGCGCCTCGGCCACGACCGTCACGCGTCTGTCCTTGTACGACATCATGCGCACGCTTAGCTCGCCTGCCAAACGGGTGCACTACGATCACGATCAAAGAACTACTATCAAGTAATAGGAAAACTGTCGGACGGTAACTTCAACTACAATTAAATCATGAAAAAAACGAGCAATTGAACATACAATAACAAATATTACCATAACGATATAAACATTGTCGATGAATTGAAGACACAACTACGACAAAATAGAACAAATTAATCCTATTAGATTCAAGTCATCATTTTGATATCTCTAAATTCTAAAGCAATGAAGTCATAGTTAATAGTCTAGTTTTGAATCCAATTAAAATATTAATTTTCTAAAAACTTATTACCGTCGGCATTCTCAACTATTTTGCTGGGCCGCAGATCTTACAGCCTTTGATAACATATTTTTGATCGATCTGGTCCAGGGTTGGCGATTTTTTTTATTTTTTTTTTAAATAAAAAAAATCAAAAATCAATTATTTTTTTGATTTTTTCAGCTTTTTTGTCTTTTTTGAGGTGTTATTTTTTATGTTGCAATTAGCCAACTAACAATAACAGTATATGGATTAAAATGGATGGCTAAAAAGGGCACTTATTGCCTCCAATAATGGCCAACAGGCCAAGGTGGTGTTTACCACTTAGGGATTTTTGGGTAAACAATTATTGATAAGTCTATTCATTAGCTTTGTAAAGTTTGTATGGAGCAATAAATAAACATGTGCACAATTCAAATATTTTATATCCATTCACTGCATTTAATTATTTTATATATAGTCTTATAATTGTAATTGTTTTGTTTCTAGTTTTAAATTCACATATTTAAAGATTGAAATTAAATATTTTAATTAGAATACTTGTATTAGGGTGGAAAATCTTTCTAATTGCCTAAAAGGTCAGTCCAATCTCAACATCACGATATACAGGGTGAGGTAGAACCGATTGAGCAGTTTTGAGGTAAAATAATAGAGTAATGGAGGTACATAAAGAAGAAAGCTTATTTTCCTAGAGGTTAGCATAACATACCATTTAGAATACTTATGTTTTGAAAACAATATCTGGAAGATGGGGGCTGTTAGCTGCAACACACTTGGAGTCGTTCTCAGAGGAGGGAGTAACCATGACAGTGGATTCCAATTGCTATGCAGCCCAAATTTCTTGCAGCCCAGGATGGAAAACATTGTTGAAAATGAAGCATTGCAAGACATGTGGTTCCAGCAAGATGGGGCTACAGCTCACACAGCCCGAATGTCACTCAATGTTTTGAAACGCATGTACCCAAACTCTGAGGGGTGATATACAGTGGCCTGCGAGGTCACCTGATTTGAGCATTTGCAATTTCTTTCTTTGGGGACACCTAAAAGAAAGGGGTTCAGAAGTCGCCCTCACACCCTACCACAGCTAAGGGAACAAATTATTGCAGCAGAAATTATGGCCATACCTTGCCATATGTGTGAACGAGCTGTAGGAAACTTCCGAGAACAACTCCAACAGTGTGATGCAGCTAACAAACCCCATCTTCCTGATATTGTTTTTAAAACATAAGTATTTTAAATGGTATGTTATGCTAATCTTGAGGAAAATGAACTTTCTTCTTTATGTACCTCCATTACTCTTTTATTTTGCCTCAAAACTGTTCAATCAGTTCTGCCCCACCCTGTATAAGCTAGCTAACACATTTAAATTGTATATTGTAATCAATATAGAACAAATAGTCAAATAGTTAAAGACTACTTATAGCCTTATAAGAATTAGCTAAGCTGCTAGCTACGTACAATGTATTACACTCTTGATGCCTCTGTACCAAAAACATTTAATTTATTGGAACCTAATACACACTAAAGGCAACAAGTTTATATATCAATTTCTCATTCATAGTACATTTATACTAAACCATGAATAACAATACCTCAATATAAATTAAAGACTGCCACTCAATATTTTTAAATATATAAAAAATAAAAAAAAATCGAAAAAATCAAAAAAATCATGATTTTTTATAAAAAAATCAAGTGATTTAATCACATGATTTAATCATTTTTATTTAATCATTGCCAACCTTGATCTGGTCAAGCAAATTTAGAAGGATCACTCTTGAAGGAACTATTTCTTGATAATAGGGATGGTAACTCCCTGTAGGAATTCTTTAAAGGCTTCAATTATTTTTACTTATTCCACGCCAAAAAAGGCAGTTTCGGTGAAAAATACCTCAGCCAGCTATTAGACGATCTAATTCCAGAGTTGCCACATTGTTAACTTAACTCTCAACTATTTTCAAGCTTTATATAAACTGTTTGTCCACGGGCTTAAAAAGCATTGACGACAGTTAATCTGACCATAGACGAAAAAGTTCAAGCACTCTTTGAGCTTAGTGAAATCTATTCTCCGTATCACCTATTTTATCTGCCAGCAATTTGTTGAGTGGAAGCAAGAGGATGACAATAGCGACGCCGGCAAGGAAAGCCCAGCCGATCTGCACGTAGAGGAGGTAGAGCGTGACAAGCAGTTGCAGCGGCAGGCTCCAGCAGGCGTGCAGACTCGGCCCAATGTTGAGCAGGCGTTCAGTGTCTGTGCTCATCAGCGTTAAGATCTCCCCTGCACAGAGTTTGAACACTTGAACAAAACCACACAGCATGACAGTGCAAGAAAAATCCCATTCATGTTTCCTCCGGGAAAGAGCAGCGTGTTATAACAGTGACTCAAGGCCAATCAATTAATAAGCCCATTGATATAATTTATTCTCTATCAAGCACTCGATTTAAAAATTATGAGTAACCCTAGTGTCATTATCAAAATGCGTGAAATTTAACCGAAAATTATTAGAAAAACGAACTGAGACCATGAGAAAATTACACTCGACATTTTCAAGACATTCAGACGAACCTTGCTTGAAGCGGCTGGACTGGGCCAGACTCAGAAGCTGGATTTTCCTGTATACGGACGTGACGACAGCAGCACGCACCTTGATGTTCAGACGAGCCATGCTGTAGTTGAAGTGCACGTTGCTCAGCGAACCTTACAACAACCGAGCCAAAGTAAGCAAATTTTGAAGCATAAGAATGAGTAGCATTCGCTTATGATACAAAGAAATCAGATCTTCTGACGCCGGAAGAAAATTAACAAGGGAAAAATATACATCGTTACTGTAAACAGGAAAAAATACCGAAACCAGCATCACAAATATTTTAATGAGGAAGAGTTATTCATCTAATGTTGGCAAGGTCTCACCAATAAGGGCTGCCAGACAAAGACATAAGGAGTAGGTAACTCCTATCCAAAGCGTTTCATTCTTGGAGTCCACATAACTGACGAGTTCATGAAGCAAAAGAGGTCCAGCAAAGCCACAAGAATCTGAAAGCAGCTTCAGGAGTCCGATACAATAGAACTCGCGTCCAAACAGAGCATGGAGGCACCGAAGAAGTGAAAACTTCTTTGCAGGCGTGATTTTGGGATGGGATCTGACAGGCAGGGGTGTAGGGCTCAATGTTTCAGAAGTGGAGGCATCAGGAGAAGATTCATTCTCAATGGCAGGACCAACGTCCTCTGCCATGGCGCTAGAAGAAGAGGGACTTTCCATGCTGGAGGAAAATGGTAAAGACTACGGTTTGACTCCCTTGTAAAAATACTAATTAGATGATAATCAAATTTGATTAAAATTATTTCACATGAGAACAACATTGAAGTTCAATTCACTCCCACAACTAACTCAAGTAAACAAAACTTAAATTTGGGGTGATAGTCAAACCACTTAAAATACACAATACAAATTAGATGAAAAAAGCAGTGCCGCAATAGCTAAATGATAAATCGGACACTGAAAGCACTGCAACATAAAATCGAGTGTCTCAACACAAGTTTTTTCTGCTAAAATTGAACTTCATACGCATTTGCTGCTGTTGTATCAGAGTCGAAGGTGCACGGCAGATGTCGCTGCTCGCCATGTCCCGCGCGCACCATGCTAATGACGGTCGACTGCGATGGAAAGTCGTGGTGGTTGAAGGCGTACGGTTCGCGTTCGTCATCGGGCAGGGGCCGCGTAAGCAGTGCGTAGCGTCGTACAGCGTATGATACCTACAATGTTAACTTGGGGTCAGGGTGTGACACCATACAAACCTCCTTAAAATTATAAACCTAATTGAATACAAAGTCAAAACAACAATAGATTCGATATTTACATGATGAAGTAAAAGGTTTATCAAAGTTCTTCCTAATTTATATGATAAAGAATAAACTACTGAGCAGAATATATCCTTTAGTTACAAAACTGTACAAAAAGATTTTAAAACAACATTCTCCTTAAATGTTTACAATAGCAAAAAGACACACTGCTGAAAATGCAGCAATGAATAACAAGACGATTCACCACCTGCTGTGTGCGAAGGTCGTGAGGCAGCGTGTGCAAATCATCCACTGAGTTCAGCAGACCTACGGATCCCTTCTCCATGAGCGCACCCACCCAGTGCAGACTCAGGTATGACAACCAACTGATGTTTACCTCGGCGGCACCCAAGTGATATGGAGTTGCTACTTCATGGAATCTGGAAACAAATAATTCAGAGCAGAACTTTTAGTTTTAGATATACAATATGTGAGCAGAATGGCAAGAAAACTTAATTTTGTGGCCATTATTACAAGTCAAGTTAATGTTTATTAATAATTTTGAAAGGACAAACCTGGTGTAGCCAGAGTCAGCTCCCTGCTGTTGCTGCTGCTGTAAGAGGTGCTCGGCACTGATTTCCCTATATTGACTTCCATCAGAACGTAAAGTTTCTCCACCTTCAGGGAAAAGGCATAGGCAGTACAGCATCTGCAAAAAGATCATATTATGAAGAATTTATGATCAATATTTTTGTTAAGAGGATATTGATCAGGATACCCACTTACTAAAATTGAAAGAATCATCTCATAAATTGAATAGTTTTTTATGAGTTGATAAAAGATTGCTTGATGTCAAGTTGAATTGTTGAGAAAATATTTCATCAAATTCCAAACCCAATCATAATAAAGTGCATGATTAGCATCAATACAAACAAAAATTGCATCAATAACATAGATTCCAATTTATGTATTAAAATCTCTCTCAATTGTGTCTGGCAGCTGCCACTAGAATGATGCATAAAGAATCATAAATTTGAATGAACAAATTCTCACTTGCAATGTAAGACGACATACTGCAATGGCTTGCATGACTTGTCGCATATCAGGAGCCCAAGCATGACTTGCTTTACTGAAGCAGGTATGAGTGAAGAGTGCAGCAGTAATGACACTCAAAGACCATACCATCAGCACACACACAGAGCCCCGCATGGTGGAGCCAAAATGGCGGGTTTTAAGTGCCATCAAATAACACAGATGGACAGTCCATGCCAATCCCTGGGAAAAATTGAATAATTTTGAAGAAGTGGGTGGCATATATATCAGCTTTCAATTGATTTAGTAGAATAAAAGAAATGAGATAGGTATTACTTATGTCAATGTATTCAATTAGTGGAAATATTAAGGGAGCAGATATACTTATTATACAGAAAGCATTTACTGCACGCTTACCTGAACTCCGTAGGATACAACATCGACCCAGAAGATCTTGGCATCAGCCACAAAGATAAGAGTTAGGGGTTCCAGAAGCACAGACAGCAGAACCATGGCACATGACAAAATCATTCTACAGTAAATGACTACAGTATCTTGTCTGTTGCGCATAACATATGGTGACTGCTTCCCAATGAAGTATGCTGAAACAACAGCCAGTAAAGCAAAGACTGGCGTGTTGAGGCATAGCTTTTGGAAGCATAGTCCAAGAGAACGAGTGTGAGGGTTCCATATTTCAAGAGATGGTGTGCCACATAGAGCAGTATAGTTGAAAAAACTACCTTCCACAGACATTTTACCAGTTCAGTGGAAATAGTTTAGTGAATGATTCAAGGCATTTTGGCAAGCCCAAATGAGTACAAAATAGGCTGAATCTGACCAGATGATCTTTCAAAATTCATAAAATTGAGTACCTATGCCAGTAGAGTAAATTATAATCTGAAAAAATGGACACATTTATAAATAAATAAAATTAAAATCTCAAGCAAGATCAGGCAATATTCAAACAGTCTTCCAAGCTTCCTTAGCAAACAAATGAGCTCTCAAAGAAAGAAAAACTTTTAGGGTACCTATGTTGATGTCTCAATAAATTGAGACAGGAAGCAAAGCATTGTGGCAAATCAGAGACTTTTTTAGACTCTTCCTCGAGTTGCTTTTTGAAACCCATACATAAGCCAATTTGGAATATTGGGCAGAAGTTTCCTGAAATTGCTGGTAAAAATTATCATTTTGCAGGTGATTATCAAAAATATTTGTTAAAAAAAATATTTTGTATTCTTTTTTCATTGAATAATTTGAAGAAAGTCCATAGAGATGGGTGATTCAGGGGTTTTTGTCCAATTCACAGGTTGCTTCCGAAATTAAAGAAGTAGAGGCAAGGAACTTGGATTTGCAGGAAAGCCAAGGAGGATAAAAATCCAGGGAAGGATAAGAATCCAGGAAAGGATAAAAATCCTGGGGTGGATACAAATTCAGTTATAATTGGACCCTGGGGCAACTGTATCAGGCAGAGGTTAGTACCATTTGGACATTACCGTCAACCGGGGCAACTCGGGACTGGCGAGGCAACTCGGGCGAAACTAATTGGAATATTACAAAACTAAATATAGTGGCGTAAACGTCAACATTTTTCCTATCTATGTAGTATAAAGGCAGTCGAAAAATACGACATTTACTAGCTTTGAAAAATTCCTGAAAAAAATGGTGAAAAACGCTGTTTTGAATGCTCCAATTACGAAAAAAATTGATTAAAAACAAAGAATATTGATCACATTTTCCTTGATCAGCGAAAAAAATTTCACTTATCGAAAAATTAGTGCATCATCAGTCATCACAAAATTGTGCATAGCATGTCATGTATAGAATTGTGCACCAGGCATCATAGAATGAAAAGTAATTGACCTAAACTACAAATTATTTCTCCAAAAGATACGTTGGTTGTCACTAAAATATTCCTTTCTGTTTGAGGTATGTTTTTCACGATCTTTTTTACTATAGTAAATTCACTTAACCCAATTAAAATGATGTGAAATTACGAGCCGTCCTGTAAGCTTACAGATACGAAAAAAATGCTATAGGGCTGCTGATACGAAGCTTGCAGTGGACAAGGTTGTTGTAAATGCTCAATGGCATGTTCATGGATACGGTAATTAATGTATATGGCAATATCATATCAATAAAGGAAAAACAAGTAAAAATCACAGAAAATGTCATTTATTCTACCTCTACATCATCTACAATGAAAGAGGCGGACTTCAGAGTACTGTTAGTAATGGATGAGTACGCTCTGCATGCTTCAAGTGTTTAAAATTAAGTTTCATTCCCAGTGTCCCGAGTAGCCCCGTTCGACGGGGCTACTCGGGACACTCTTTTTTTGCTTCTGGCACCTTACGAATAGCATATGGAATTTTTTTTGAAGATGCCATTCGATAGCCCTCGCAAAGAGCTATAAAATGAGCCTAAACTTGTTTATGAAATGTTTCATCGTAAGAAGTTATTAACAAAAAATGCTCAAAACCGTCCCGAGTAGCCCTGGTTGACCGTACTTCTTTGTGATGAATGGATAGAGGAGGAATGTTCACCTCCTCATAGCATTTATGCTATGACTACATCAATGTCACAGCTGCTCCTGAAAAAGGCTATTATATCATCAACATAGTCTGCCACATGTTCTCCCAGCTCTGATGAAATATTGGTCATCATCACATTAAACAAACAGTGCATGTTTAGCTCCTTGAGGAACACCTGATTTGATGTCTTTTGAATCAGAGGTCTCACCTTCATAGTGTACCTGGAATGTGCAGCCTGTGAGGTTGGCACATAGCCATCTTAACAGTGTGCAATGCACCCCACTCTGGCTTAGCTTGTATAGTAGGCCTGTGTGCCACACTCTGTCAAATGCATTGGAAAGATCACAGAACACCACCAGCATGCAGCAGCACTGTTCCAGTGGCAAGGGCAGCATGGATTGCAGCCACAAGTCTTGCAACTTGGTCCACTGCAGCTAGGCAATGGCAGAACCCTTGTGTGGAAGGTCCGAGAGAACCATTTTGCTCAAGAAGTGCAGTCATTTGTTTATTATGGCTCTAGCAACTTACCTAAGAAAGGCATTGAAGACAATAGTGAAATTGGCCTGTAAGATGATACAGAAGGTAAGCTTTTAGCTGGTTTAGGAATAGGACTGATTAACCCTAGAACGACCAGCGGGCCTCATAGGCCTGTTTCAAAGAAATATTAGTCTATATTTTACAAACTTGTAAACTTATTACGCCGAAACTACATGACTTTATTTGCGTAGTACATATGTAACCTCCATACAAAAATTGTTGAAAATGATGCAGTATTTTTTGATATTTTTAGTGTTACATCATATTTTACCAAGCGGGCCTCCGAGGCCCCTGAGTGATACAAGCGCTGCGGAGTCCTGTTGTGAATCCTGACCAGTTGCACGAAACATGTTTCAAGAGATTTTACGCATGATGAGATTCGATAACGCCTGTGAGAGGAGGCAAAACAGGTCACCAGATAAATTGCAACCAATACGAAAGATTTTTGACTTGTGGAACAGCACATTGCAAGATGCCTTTATCCCGGGTGTAAACTTGACTGTTGATGAACAACTTCTACCGTTTCGAAGTAGATGTCCTTTCCGTCAATACATCCCATCAAAGCCTGGAAAGTACGGAATCAAATTCTGGGTAATTTGCGACAGTGAAACAAGGTATGCATTGAAATTGGACATTTGCAAAGGCAAAGAGCCCAGCGAACAAAGAGCTTCAAATTTGGGAACTACTGTTTTACTAAATATCTGATTCCTACAAAAACAGTGGTATAAATATCACTTGTGACAACTTTTTCACTAGTCTACAATTAGGACGAGAATTTCTGCGAAGAAAGCTGACACTAGTTGGAACAATAAGAAAAAATCGAACGGAATTGCCGACTGCTTTTACGGTCTCTAAAGGTAGAAAGCTTTTCAGTAGCATGTATGGCTTTCAAAGAGATTCAACAATTGTTTCCTATTGCCCAAAGAAAAACAAAGTTGTCACATTGCTAAGTACAATGCACAATGACAAAGGTATCGAGTCTCCCGGTGAAACCAAACCAGAAATAATTCAGTACTATAATTCTACAAAAGGAGGAGTAGATACCATGGATAAGATGGTTCGATTCTATAGTACCAAACGAATGACTCGTAGATGGCCAATGGTTGTCTTCTTCAACATGATAGATATAAGCGCAATGAATGCCATAATTATATGGATCAAACTTCAAACTTCCTGCAATGCAAGAAAGGTGTCCGCCGTGCTCTGCTTATTACGTTAGCGAAATCACTTGCAGGAGTAACAGCTAATAACAACCCCCCTCTTCAGAAACCTGTTTCATCCAATTCGAGTGTTGCCTCAGAAAATACGAACAAGAGAAAGAGATGTTACTTGTGCCCTTCAAAAAGGGACAGGAAATCTAAGATATAATGCGAAGACTGTCAACAGAGCATTTGTGGTGAACACAGCGTCAATATATGTCTTCAGTGCAAAAAATAAGATAATAATATAATGCTCTCATGTTCTTTTCAAATAGAATGGGTTAATATTTTCATCTATCTTTATTTTGCGTGCATTTCATTAAAAAATTGCCAGCAATAGAGAATGCTTTATTGTATGTGTTAGTATGTAACCCAAAGAAAACGGATACACCATGCTGCAAGTCTTAGAACAAAGGAATATTTTCAATAAAAGGAAGATTTTTAATTTTGTAATTATCCTAAATGCTTCAAAACATATATTCTCAGTATTTAACACTTAAAAGACCCTTTATATAGAAAATATTAGAGATACAACAGAGACCTTGCAAAAAAATAGGGATCGGGCCTACACGATAGACTCCTGTGTCTCGAAATAATTTTCTCGAAATAAACCGGGACAGACATAACGAGACAAGAAAATTCCGGGAAAAAAATAATGGGACAGAGGGTAAAATTTGTCCCGGAATAAACGTATGAACCGAGACAAGACTTCTGTCCCGGACTTTAAAACTTGTGTCCCGGTTATTTATGAACCGGGACGAGACAGACAGATTTGAAACGAGACATAACGAGACGAGACGAGATTTGTCTTAATTATTAAGGACAAATCAAGTTTTTAGATTACGATACGAATTGTTTCGAAAACATGGGTTGAAGAATGACAAGTTAGCCATTTATTGCTAATAGGGCCATAGACAGTTACCAGCTAAATTGAGTTAATTACTGATTTAGCAAAATTTGTCTGACTAACTGACATGGCAGTTAGTTAGTGGTCCGACAAACACCGCAAAACTGTCGATGTATGGCTGAGTTTTGAGTAAAAATTGTTACTCTTAAGTCTCAACTAAGGCTTCCATGGCACTTTATGGGAACCGTACAAGTACGAGTCGAGTTCATTACGTGTTCGGAACGAGTTCAGGCGCCACGGAGCGCATTGGGACGCAGGGTCTAGATTAGTCAGTCAAATAGTAGACAGTGGAGTGGAGTCCTGGTAAGATATTCCTAATAATACTAAAGCTATTTTTAGATTATCTCTGCCTTTAATAAAATTTTGTGCTACGCCTCCAGGAAATCATCACAATTGCGCAGTTTCCTGAATTGTTATTAAACGCTTGTTAAGGGGGGGGGTATCGCCTAAAATTTGGGATTTTGCCATTCCCGGTTAGAAGTCTCATCTTAAAGCTGACATTCTGACCTATCCAACGGTACATAACATCACTGTACATTGATTTATGCGTTCACGACATATCGCTAAAGGGTTAGGGGTGGTGGAGTTATTTTACATTTAAGGGAAATTAGCTGCTGAGCTCTTAAATAGAGTGTCTGCTTGAGCTGCACTTCAGTTACCCGCCTGGTGTCGTATGGGGTGGTGTGCATGCAGTCGTTCCCACCATCCTTGACTGGAATCGAGCTCCA